CTTAGCCACTGGAGCAACGTCCCTCTGCGGAGCAGACTTCTAAAAGTTCTGATTTTGTGCTCAGAGGCTCTTTCACTTGCCGGTAGCGGCTGACGGAGGCTCCCTCCCCCACCCTCTATCATCCCGTATATCACCTCGGATTCACTTCTTCGCACATCCTACCTTCCAGAAAGTGGTCGCTTTTCTGTTCAGAGAGGTGTTGTTATTCTTTTCTTCAATCTCCTGTTGAGTTCATAGGTGTTCAGAATGGTTTATACCTATCTAGCTGAATTCCTAGGACCAGACGAAATTTAGGTCTCCTACTCCTCCGCCATCTTGCTCCTCCTCCAAGATTAGACATATATTCTTGTAACCAGGAGTAGGAGGCTCCACTGTAAGGGTGATCAACCTTATTTTCTTGGGTCCAGATCACTGGGATTCGAGGCTAGCTTGAGATCTTCCCCCAGGGCAGCACTGAGACCAAAGTGTCCTTCCTCACAGGGAAATTATCTTTCTCTGCTCACTCTGGATATAGGGGTATTTGCTATGGAAGTGAAGAGTTCCTTGCCCTTTTTGATCCATCTTTCTGCCCCACCATTGACACTTTCCTGAATCGGGTCTCATCTACCATCACGGAGGAGACTGGGTGGCAAGAATAAAAAATCAGGTGTTTACCATTTCCTATCCTTTGTCCATAATCATCATCATCATTGACACAGACACTATTGGTTACCTACTCAGCCTGAATTCCCTGATTCTTCTTGGATGTCAGAGCCCTGATTTTGTTCTGATACCTCTCCTCTGTATAGCCATACACCCAGAGAAGGTGGTCCTATCTCTCACTCAAAGATGACTCCTGAGTAGTTATGGTATTCCACTCTTCCTGTCAGTGATTGGTTTATGCACAGATTATGACTCAATCCTGGCCAATAAGATATGGGGCAGGGGTATTCCTGGGAAAGGTTTTTCTTGTTCTTCTCTTGGACTTTATAATATCTGCATTTACTCTCTGGAACTGCAGCAGCCATTTTGTGACCAGCAAGAGAATTGCCCCAACGGCAAAGCTGATATGCTAAGGATGGCAGAGTGGAAAGCTAGAAAGAACTTCGTCCTTAGGGTTGTATTCAAGCCCCTGAAGTAATCAACCATGAAACCACACTACCTTGGGATTTCTGATTTTTAAAGTTAGGCAAGTGAGTATACTCTTTTATTTGTAGCCATAGAAATATGACTTATACAGAAATTGACACTGAAAGAGAGGTTGCTCACAACAACAGGGAAATACAGTGATGTGGGATCAGTTAGTTACCTGGCCAAACACAGTGTACCAGGTATATGAGGTGGTGGGACTTGAGTAGATCATGGCATAGAGTTAATTATGAATTAATTATTAGCTGTGGCTACTACTACTACCAAGTGGCAGCTACCATATAGTTTTATAGAAAGTTTGAAAAAATCGTATTCTGTAGACAGGAAGATTGCTTCTGTTTGAGCTGGACAACTTAACAGGGAGAGTGTCAAGTTCAAATTTCTAATTCAGGTACAGGCTGAAAATCAGGAGTTATCTAAGTCTGATTATGTAAGGTTGAAAGATTAAAACCAAACACTAAGTTTGCTTCTGCAAATTGCTGAATTACAAAGTTGTTAATATCACTACTTTACTGAGTGTCCTATGTGAAAGTGAGGATATGCCTCAGAGAAGAGGTGAGCCCCCAGCAAAAACAGATATCTATGTGAAGAGCTGGGTGATGTATTAGTCTGGGTTGAGAGAGTTATATATATATAAAACTCTCTCTCTCTCAGCAAAGACAGAGACAGAGAAAGAAAGAGATTGATTTATTGTAAGGAATTGGTTCACGTGATTTGGAGGGTGAGAAGTCCTAAGCTCTGCAGTCAGCAAGTTGGAGGCCCAGGAGAACCAATGGTATAAGTTATAGTCTGGATGAGAAAGGAGAAGATCAATTTCCTATTTCAAAGACAGGTAGAGAGAGTGAATTCTCCCTTAATTCTCTTACCAAAAAAGCCTTTTTGTTCAAATGCGGCCTTCAGTGGGTTTGATGATGCTTACCCACATTAGGGAGGGCAATCTGCTTTACTCAGTCTACTGACTCAAATGCTAATGTCCAGAAACACTCTCGCAGACACACTGCGGACTAATGTCTGATTAGATATCTGGGCATCCTATGGCCCAGTCAAGTTGACACATAAAATTAACCATCGTAGATGGTTTAGATAAAGTCTTCTAAGCCCTCACTTTTCCCGAACCTTCCCTGCTCTGCAAAGCAGCTGTTTCCCTCATCTGATGAAGCTGTTTTTCCCTACTAAAAGCTTTGCAATGACTAAGGAGACAGCTGTCCTCTTTCTCATTTGCACCCGTGTCCCCAACCCCTGCCAGCATCTTTATCTAGAGTCATATCCCAGAGTGTATCAGGGGACCAATTATACAATTAAACCCAGGAGGAGATTATTTTCACACCAAATAGTATTATAAGAATTTGCTAATTATTTCAGCAAAATTCTAGTAAAGATCAGCAGAAAGGAATTCTGAACATACAAGATCAAGGAATGAGGAACATAATTCTGAATGCAACTGAATTTGTTAATATGTGTGAACCAACCAGAAATTTTGAATTTGGTCTGCTGGTTCAGTATATTCTTTTTTATTTTTTTAATTTAAAATCTTTTTTCTTTTTTTATGATTTTATTTATTTGCGAGAGAGAGAATGAGAGACAGAGAGCATGAGAGGGAGGAGGGTCAGAGGGAGAAGCAGA